ACATTCGTTAATTGGAGGTAAGCTTTTATTAAACTTTTTTACCCGCCATGATAGAGACTTTTTGATTGAGCATAACATTTAAAAACATTCAATCTTTGGTTAGAGCAGAATTAACATTTTCGTAACTTAGGTCTTCTGGCACTTGGCAATGTTATCTCCGCTTTGTCAGAACCAGGAGGAAATCGGCATATACCTTACAGGGACTCGAAAATTACTAGATTATTGCAAGGTACTTGAATATAATAATCAGTCGTTCGCCTTTATCATATTTCACTACAGATTCACTCGGTGGTAATTCTTACACGCTCATGATTGCCTGTGTCTCGCCGGCAGACTCAAATGCAGAGGAAACATTGAGTACCCTCAGGTTAGTGAATATTGCAAAGTCATGGCTGCGTAGATGACTTCTGTATAGAAGGAATAAATTCTGCTTTGAAACGAGCAAAATTTGCAATTGAAAAGGTTTTTTTTGGTAGCACCGATATTTATGTGTGCTTGCGGACTTTTGCGCGAATGTGCATTTCCGTAAAAGTTGGATATTAGATTGTAATTCTGATAGACAAATCTTTATCTTCAAGTAAGTCTTTGTGTGGACTTTCAAGCATGTTAGAAACCATTTTATGTTGCCTGATTTTCGAATAAGTATCTTTCAGATATGCAGACCGTGCAAAGAAAATCAAAAATAAGCCCATTGTCAACGTTGATCCTGTTCAACAGAGAATGCAGGAACTTAAGGAAAAGGTTCGTAAGCTCGCTAATACATTTATAAGCTGAAGAAGCCCTTGTTTGGAAAACATACACTTGTTTTTCAAATTACCATTTCGGTAGTAGTTGGGCTCCATTTTCCAGGTCGCTTCCTTGGAGAGAGAGCTGGCAGAAGTCCGTATGGGTATTGCTCCGGGTTCTGCGGATGGCAGTTTGAGGTTAATCATTTGAAGTCAAAAGCATCTCCACTAAGAAATCCTTTTTTCAGCTCAATTGAAGTTGCTGAGTTGAGGTCAGCTCTAGCCGAAAAAGAACGTCAATTGAACGAAGCTCATGGAAAAACCGCTGAGGCCATATGTCAAAAGGTATAGTGCGGCGGAGTGTAGGCAGACTTGGGTTAAACTTCTCGTTTTTGTTGGTTGCTTGAGCGTGTCCAAGATTGGTTGAGTAAGTTAAAGCCTATACATTTTTAGGTCGGCCTTCTCAATCAGCTCCAGCATGTCGAAGCACAGAAGGAACGATTTAAAAACGTAGTGAATCAAGCAGTTGAAATGATCAGGTAAGTTATTGCCAATTAGATATTCACTTGGGAAGTATTTTCTCTTTTCTAAAGAAACAGCGGAGAAGTTGAGCAACACGACCTCGTCCAACAAATATCGGAGATTCTTACCGAACAAGTGTTGGATGAAGAGGTAATTGGTAGCGTTGTAATAAGTCGAAAAATTTCGCATCTTTTTTTAGGAGAAAGACCCATCGATAACAAGGATTCTCCACGCGGATACGGATGAAGAAGGCGCTATGGATGAAACATTCAGCATAAAGTTCGTGTAATCCTATTATGGTGCTTTACAATGTTGGGTCTTGTTCTCAAAGTATCAACTTGCAGATTCGTTGACCAGCAAGCGTCCTTGAACAAGGAATTGGAGGAGGTGATGCGCCAAATAACAGACAAGGAAGATATACTGAGGAAAGCTGTCGAGAATCAGAAGAACGTTGACGAACTTCTAAAGAGACATGAGGTTTGCATAAAATGCGCATGATTTGCACTAAGTTTATCGCTCAAAATTTCAGCAAGAGATGGGTGAGTTACAAAAACGCATAGATGCACTTCTAGCTGAAAAATCGAAATTGGAAGCAGATCTTAAGAAATTCTCTGTGAACAATAGGTATCGAAAATATTGATTGCGTCTTGATTTTGTCGGGTAAGTGGTCACATACCGAAATTCAGACTTGCTGAGGAGCGGAGGAAAAAATTGCAAGAAATGGAGAAACAATTGGCACTGTTCCGCAAGCAAATGAATGATATGAAGCGGTTGGAGAAGCAGAAGCAACAAAGCGAAGAGATGCAAAAACGTATGCAAGCGGAAATCTCAGAACTGAAAAAGGTATCTCATTTTTGAAATTTACTGTGATGAACTGAATTGCTTCAGGCGAAAGTCCGCATGGTCAAGCAGCAAAAAGAAGAGGCTGAGAAGTACCGTCAGTGGAAGATAAAGCATGACAGAGAACTTCATCAGCTCAAACAGAAGGTAATTTTCTATTTCTATGCAGTGAAGTCATTACAATCATCTTTTAGGAACGAAAGAGAGACATAGAAGCTGCGCGCGAGAAGCGGGCACATGATCAGCAGATGATGGTCTACAAGCAGAAGCTCGAGGATGCTAGTCGAGTGAACAAACGATTGCAAGCCCAGATGGAGAAAGCTGCAGCATTTTCTCGTGAGAAACCAGAAAGTGAAAAGGCGTTGAAGAACGCGAAAGTAGGTTATTTTGACACCTTAAATAGTTCTTACATATTTCCATCGATTTCTTCACTACATTCGCTTTTCTTCAGCACTTCATCGAAGCTGAACTTGCTCTTATCGGTAGTTCTTACGAAGCGGAACTGATGTGCCAGTCGTTGAAGGATCAAAGACGTCAGCTTGGCAAGAAAAGGGCTCGTTTACAACGTGAAAAAGATGCTTATCAAAGCGAACCGTTACCCAAGGTAAGTGTCGTAGGTATATAATTTTTGCTATTTTTCTCTATTTTCAGCGACGTTCCACTGAACAAGGAGAAGCTTACCCTCCAGAAGTGGAGGAGGCCTTAAGAAAAATTGATGAAGAACTCAAAAATATCGATCAGCAGCAATTGCTTTGGTCGGTTTCAATGAAGT